CCTTACCTTCCACAGCATCTCCGCATTCACCTGGCATGCTGGCCCCACACCCCCAATCTAATGGCCCCATCCTCCCTGGCCACATAGAAACCCAGCGCAGGGAGGACCAGGTCCTCGTAGAAGCTTCCTCCATCAGGACGGAGAGCATCAACTCCTCTGAGTTCCCGCAGCCTCCACCACGGGCACACACAGCCCGCAGGCCTGCTCTTTATTGCTTGCTATTTTGAATTTAATTTTCATGTCGAGTCTCCCCCACCGCTGTGAGTTTCCTGAGGACAAGGACATTCTCTTGCTTATTTCTGTGTCTCTTGGACTTCAGGGAAAGTTAATGCATATTTATTGACCATCTTACAGTATATTTTGGCCCTTTCATAGCAGGAATGAGTCCTGTTTATTTGCTTTGCTCTGTGGCCAGCTTGCTGTGGGACCTGGTTTGGTTTTAAAAATGATGGTCCCTGTTGGGAAAGGAAGTGGAATGATTGGGCGTATGGAGAAAGGGCAACACTTGCTTTTTACTCTAAATATTCTGCATCTTTTGAACCGTTTCTAGAAAGCATGTGCTCATGCATGATTTTTGTAATAAAGCAATTTATTTAGATTATGCTGTTCATATGTAGAGTGTCGCACTGAGGAGACAAGACTGGTCTTTTGGGGTAAGATTTTCCCCTGCTTTTCTCCAGTGCCCCAGACTCAGATCCTTGCAGAGGGACACCGTGGCTCTCTCTGTTCTGTAAATGTGTCTAACTATACAAAATTGTAAGAGACAGCACATAGATTAGGAATTTTATGTGGGTTGTAATTGGGGATCATTTTTAACGGCCTGAAGTCATTTGCAGTATTATTTCAGCTGCGAGTGGATTATAGTTAGTTATAAGAACCCCTCCATCCCACCGAGATGTCCATGAAATTTATTTGCCGTTTTTTACCCTCTCATTTTTCACTGGGAAAGGAAGCCAGCAAACTGTGTTTATTCTGGTTCCCAAAGGAGAGAAAGACCACATCCCTCCACCCCTAAAGAAAGCTCTCTTATTTGAAATGTCTTTTCCATTTACCCTGCTCTGAATAATGGAGTTTTAAAACTCTCTTGTTTTTCTAAGTATTAAATTTTCAAAGGAAGGATATTTTTGAGTTCAAAGCGCCGGTATCAAGTCTTTAATAGTTCTCTTGGTCTGGCATTCACCAGCAAGAATTTTTAAAACGGCATCCTGTGGGGTCAGTTCAGTAGCTAAAAAGATGATTCCAAGCCAACATCATTGGCATATAATCCTGAGACGAATCTCCCCCACAAAATCTTTGCTTTTCATTATGTCCTGGGTGCTGGATAGGCCACCTGGACCACCCCTCTGCCTCCAGGCAGGCTGTTAGGGGGGCCAACTTAGGATGGAATTTATTGGGGCGAGTAGCCCAGACTCACACAGCACTGCCCCCCAAACTTCTCAGCCTGCTGGGTCGACTGAACAAAAGCTGGCGCTGCCCAAGCCTTCTCGTAATCCCCAACCCCTATGAACAGGAGACTTTCAGTTCACCCTGAACTGGCCCCAGCACCTGGAATTGTTGGACCAATGGCCCACATCCATCCTGGACCTTCTGCAGTTGCTCTGGCTCTGAGCTTCTTCAAAACCACAGTGTGTAAATCTTGAAGACTCAGAAGAATGAACTTTCAAAGTCCCAAACAAGCCAGCTTCTGTCATCTTTCCTCACAGGTCCTTGTGTCCGGTTCCTTAGCCACTTTGTGTGTCTCTGATCATGTGCACCATCCTTGTTGCAGAGTTGTCCACTTCTAGGAATGTCCCCATTTCTCAGTGGGGTGCTATTGGCATTTGAGGTGGGCCTCTCTCGGTCCTGTGTATTGCAGGTCATCTAGAGTCCTGGCTCAGTCCGCCAAATTCCAGCAGCCACCTCCAGTCATTACAACAGCCAAGAAGTCATTCTCAGCCTGGACATGGCGGGGGTGGGTGCAGTGCAACCCTCAACCTGGTGGGGCGCAGTACCAACTTCAGCCTGTGGCAGTGAAGGTGGGGAGGGGGACACGATACTGCCCCCAGCGGAGGACTCCAGGGTTCTTAGCTGTATGCTCTGGGGGGCTGGCATTTCTCTTCTTCCACGGTGAATCTGCAGCACCCAGCACAGTTAGTGCCAGACTTGTGGTAGGACATCAGTAAATATTTGTCACATGAATGAATGAATGAGATCTATGAACAAGCTTCAAGAGGGCCTGTGAACCCTATAAAATTGTGTGCAAAATGGGTGTGTATATTGTGTGCATTGTACACATATGTTTTCTGGGGCAAGAATTTATAGCATCCACCAGATTCTCCAAGGGAAATTGTGACCTATGGGGATGTTCGGAAGACTGATCCAACCAGTGTCCACTACTAGCCTGATATTTGTGTCCCTGCAAACGTCACTGCACAGTATTTGTGAGGTGAGTTTTAGAACTGCTTCTCTGCACCAATATTCTGATATCCCTGCAGAAAGGAATGTCCTGAAAATTCCAGGGGAGACTTCCCTGAGTTCATACAAATCTCTAATGCAATGGCTATATTCTACCCTTTAACAAGAAATGGCCTTAGTCCTGGGCCTTTGGACTCACTAACAGGAAACTTTGGCAAGAACAGGGCAGGCATTTTCTTCCCGAACTCGAGAGTGTTTCCTGGTGGCTTTCCAATGAAAGACAAAGAAACTGGGAACATCACTCAGCTTCCCGTCAGCCCGGGCTCACGCAGCAGCTCAGCAGAGGCTGGGTCAGCCCAACAAGTGAGCAATCATGACTTGCTTCCTTCCTTGGAATTCACTGTCAATGCAACTGTTTTAATAAAACACAATCTATGCACCGAGACAGGAAGGACAGCTGGGCCAAGCTGGTGACTGAGCCAAAGACCCAGTTTCCAGAAATGTCTGCAGACCTGCGTGAAGATTCATAGCCCTGAGGAATTACAGTTTGGCTGCACTGCAGTGGCTTTGAGTGAGGTCTCGGATGGATGGGTGTGGAGGGTGTTAACATAATGATGGCACATCCTTGATGCTTCCCCAGCATCCATCTGCCCATCCTGGGACTGTCCTGTCCCAGGAAGAGAAGCTACAGCATTCTAGAAAGGGCATTTAGCCAGGGGAGGGGACAAAACTGGAGGCTTAAAGCACCCCAGCTTGGAGTTAATCTCTGGCGCAGTGAAGCATTTACCAAGAAGCCTGTGATATCATTCACTCCGAGGGATCATTCTATTTGCAGAAGCTTCCAGCGTCTAGACTAGATCAGTCATGAGCCTAGAAACTCTCTCGGGGGAAGATGGAAACTCTGAGGAACCCCTGAGAGTTCAGAACAGGCGTCTCAAACTTTAGTGTCCCTAAAAGTCACCTGGAGAGCTTGTTAAACCACATTCCGGGCCCTGACTTCACATAGTCTATTCATCAGGGGCTGAGAATCTGCATTTCTAATAAGCTCCCAGTCTGGAGACCCCAGTCTAAGAACCACTGGTTTCCAGCAGGTGGTTTCACACTGTGCTCTATGGCGCTCCCTTGTGTGGAGAAGAAGGGATGAGAAAAGCAAATGAATGGGACTCGGAGCCCTCACCCCCACCGACATCCAAGACACCTCCCAGTCTACTTTACACATCTGGTTTTGGTGATTAAACAAAGAACCCCTGATAAAATGGATGGGGATGGAGGGCCCACTGTCTGGAAGAGGTGGGTCCAGGCCTGCATGAGAGGTGCTCCCTAGAGCCGAGCTTCCCCATCCCTCATTCCAGTGTGCCTGTGTCAGGGGGCAGCCTCTGCCTATAACCTGAAAACATTTGAGGCAAGCAAATCCCAAATACCCAGCTAAGGGAGCAGAGGCCAGCGCAGGTACCACCTCCTGTGCGTGCACCATTTCAGTCAGCAGAGCCCACTCCCTGGGTACCTGTGGCTGCAGTGGTGACTGGCTGTCTGCGCCTGGAGGGGTTTCCTGCCCACCTGCAGGTTTTTGAGTCAGCGTCTGGGTGCAGGGCAGCACCTGGTCCAAGAGAATTTGCCCATCACTGTCCGGATGTGCCCCACATCTGCCCTGGCCCCCGGCCCATCAGGATAACCACTTCATCCTCCAAAAACCAAACTCAGGGTAACCATATGGCCTCCTATAGCTCGGACCCACAGTAGTGGTCTAGGGTAGAGCCTAGTTTCTGGGGTCAAAGTGTCGGGGTTTCATCTCGACTTCACTACCACCCAGCTGAGAGACCCTGGGTGAGGCAACCCCTGTAAGCCTCAGTTTCCCGTCTGTAACATGGAGAAAATTGTAGTATCCATGTGAGCATTAAACGCAGCTGTCCGTGTACCACTCCTGGTACCGCACCTGGCATGGTGTGAACCCTCAGGAAATGTTGGCCAATTGTTAACTAAGTCTTCTCTCTTAACACTTTTTCAGTGGTTTTGATGAAGCTGGAGTGTTCTGTTTGCATTAGTTTCCTGGGGCTGCTGTAACAAAAGACCACAAACTGGGTGGCTTAAAACAGCAGACATATATTTGCTCATAGTTCTGGTGGGAAGACGTCCAAAATCCAGGTTTTGTCAAGGTCACGTTCCTCTGAAGGCTTCCGGAGGGAATTCGCTCCATGCCTTTAGCTCCTCATGCTGCTGGCAATCCCTGGCGTTCCTTGGCTCACAGATGCGTCACTCTAATCTCTGCCTCTGTCATCACACGGCATTCCTTCTGTCTTTCTCTGTCATCTTCTTATAAAAGGACACCAGTCATATTGGACTAGGGCCCACCCTAACTGACTATGACTTCATCTTAATTTGATTGCATCTGCAAAGACCTTTATTTCCAAGTTAGGTCACCTTTGCAGGTACCTAGGGTAGGACTTGGACATGTCTTTTTAAGGGACAGCATTCAACCCACAACACTGTCTGACTAGAGGGAGACCACAGGGCCCGGCAGCCGTGAGGACCCTGGGGGTCTTCCCTGTGAAGCTGGACAGGGCTTCCCCAGACCTGGACTAAACTGTCCTAATGGTTGTGTTTTGCAGGGTGTTCAGACTTACATCTCCTGGATATGTTGACCCCAACTGAGAGAAAGCGACAGGGATACATCCACGAGCTAATTGTCACGGAGGAGAACTACGTGAATGACCTGCAGCTGGTCACAGAGGTGAGGGCCACTGCGGGTGCCTGGGTCGGGGAGTGGGGACAGGGCCCTGGCAGAGGGTGGGCTGGGGGAGGCTGTCAAGGAGGCCTGTGTCCGGATTCCCAGTCTGAGAAGCTTTCTGATGCATGGGAACATCTAGACGGTAAATCACACAGGAGAGTCTTACCCAGGAGAAGATGGTGATATTCTCATCCGTGGCCAGCTCTGTGTCCAGGGATCTCTGCAGACGAAGGACAGATGATCCCGTGAGGGGTGCACAGAAACAGACACGCGGGCTGTGCAGTGGGAGTCAGGCTCCACTCAGAGAACTTGCTGCTCGGCCACCAACTAGTTGATGCCGCAGAGAAAGTGCCATCACCTCCCTGGTCCTCAGGGGCGGCGGCATCTGAAAATGGCAGCCCCCTGGCTGATATCTTGATTATTCCTCGTGCTATGTATCACCCCCTCCCCCCAGAAAAATCTATTGCAGAGAATGAAGATGTTTCCTCCTGGGGTCCTGTGTGCCCCCCATCCTAGATGATGCCTCGTTTTGTCTCTCCTTCCAGGGAGCTGTTGAAGGGCCTTGGGCACCTGGTCCAGAGGATGGGGAGATGCAGAGTTGGGAACCCTTGCTTTTTAGGAAGCATTTGGTCCACACACATGGGAGGCTGTCATATTAGGAAACCGGGGATGGCAGAGCTGGATGTCAGAGTCACCCAACAGTTTACAAAGTACTGTGATAAGTTTGGGACCCCTCCCACCCCCAGCAGGTGTGAAACCACCTCCTGTGATTGTCTTCACAACCGGGAGAGACATGGCTCGGGGACCCAGTGTTGCACGAGTACAGGAGGCAGGGTGGGCTGACAGCCCCCAAGGCCACCATTAACACTTAGGAAGCATTGGTGCAAAACAGTGCCCCTCTCTCAAGACACATGACTGTCACTAAAGATACAGTCTCGGGTGTCTAGGATATGAGTGTCACTCCCTTCGATGTGGCACCTTGTGCAGTGGCCAGGTGTGTGCCAGGTTCAACATCAGCTACGGACTCATGAGACGAGGGCTCCCAGGGATCGGCCTCGGTCCAGCCAGTTTATTTTAAAGACAGGCTGTCCGCATCGCTAAGGAACCTTCCAAAGAACGCCTGGCCTCCAATGGTAGATGCGGCCTCTTTCTAGGCAGGGGCTCACCATGTGGGGCTCAGCTGAGATCTGTGATTTACTGCGAGTTGCTCAACCACCCAGACATCAGGCGGGCTCCTTTATTTCCTGGAGTCCAGGAGAGGAGCCATGCCCACCCGTGAACTGGGCGTGCTCGTGCTGGCTCTGTCCCAGGCCCAGCCCAGGCTCCGGGCAGAGCGGTGGAGTCTGTCGTCCCCAAGGCTGCTAGTTGGAGGCCCAGGTGCCTGGGCTGCTCCCCTGGAATTCCCGAGACTTGTCTGTGCAGCTGGGGGCAGGGATGCGGGAGCCACCCCCACCTCGTACCTCTCTCAGCCCCCCATTTCTCCACTGTGTCCCTTTCCTCACTGTGGCAGGTGAGAGCCTGAGTGCTTTTGTCCAGCCCCACCGCTGAATCCTGGTGGAGTTGAGGTCTGTCCTCCAGAATTTAGTGGGACTCCTGGTGAAACAGTGTGGACCTGATGGAACCCCCCCAACATCGTCCCCAGGCAGAGGGGGGACCACCTGCTTCAAAACTCTGCAGCTCCTGGGCCTCCCAGCAAAGCTGCAGATGCCTTGGTCCCTCCCATCGCTCTGAACAGATCAGTGTGTGCCTGTGTTTGAGTTTTAAGCTAACTGTTTGCTTTCTGAACTGCTTCGTTTTCTGCATCTGTAGATCTTTCAGAAACCCCTGATGGAGTCTGAGCTGCTGACAGAAAAAGAGGGTGCTATGATTTTTGTTAACTGGAAGGAGCTGATTATGTGTAATATCAAACTACTGAAGTAAGCCTCTCCTTGCTAATCCCCCGCCTCGCCTGCCCGCCGCCCTTACACACTAGCTCCTGCGTGATCCTCCGTGTGCCCCTCCCTGCATGCGCCCTGTGTTCCTTCCTGCCACTCTCCCTCATTTCCACTTATGAGCACCATCACTCTTTTTCACCCTGATGCTTTCTTTCTTGGAAATGCACCCCAAATTTTTCACCGAGGAGAATAAATTGCTCAGCATCCCGGTTCATGCTTTGACTGTGGTTCTAGAATGAACAGAGCTGGGCAGATCCTGGCTCTGGATCGCTGGCCAGCTCCATCCTGGGTGGGGACAGTCCTCTCCTCAGCCCCTAGCGCCTTCCCTCAGACTCAGGTTCCACTGGGGGATTACGGAGACTTTCTTGACTCCTGAAGACCGAAAACAGTGGAACTGTTCACACCCACGGTCAGTGGCAGTTCTCAGGATCCTCCCCTGAGAAGCTGGCCTGGAGCAGTAGATATTTTATCCCTTTTTAAGTTTTCTGAGGCAGCTGATGGGCCAGGAGTCAAGAAACCTGGGTTTGGGGCCCAATTCACTGCCCATCCTGTTTCCCCACCTGTAAAATGAAGGGATTGGACTACATCCTCACAAAGGCCTTTCCAGTTCTTAAAAACAAAAGAGCAAACAAACAAACAAAACCCCAAAATAAAACCCCTTCAATTCCGTGTCCAGCAGGCCCTCAGTATCACATCTCTTGCTAGGACAGAGATGAAGTCCATGGTGATACTGGGAGCTGGGGAAGCTCGGGCCCGGTGAACTTGTGTCCATCCCTCATCTCTGGGTCCATGTAACTGGGAAGCAGCTATTTCCTAAATGTGGTCCCTGCGTTTTTATAAAGCAATTTCAGGTCCTCACTTTCCTGAGTGTGTTTGGGAGTGGAGGAAGGGATGGAGAGAGAGGTTCAGAGCGACGGATGTGAAGAAAAAATATAATATCTTCTCTCTGTGTGTTCTAGAAGGCAAGTAATCAAACCCAGTGACGGTGTGTAGAGAAGGTATTTCTGTTATTCACCCTGGGGTGAAGTGATCACCTCACTCTTGCCGTGGGGAGAGGCTGCCTTGTCCTGGGGGCTAGTGGGTTAGTTAAGCCTGAACCTACAAGTACTAAACCTTAAGTGTTGGAGAAACTTGTTCTAAATTAAACGCAAAGATTTTCTGTTCAAAATATCCCTGCAAGTAAAAACTGCTCTCCTTGGGCGTCTACGTGGGGCGTGGGGAGGTGGGAGATGTCTGATGTCCCTGAGCGCCCCGCCCAGCCCCGTGCTGTGAGGACTGGCCGGAGGGAAACTGCGCTGCTGGCTCCCTGTACCTTTCCGTTGTCTTCGCACTCTTAACCCTCCCTGCTGCTCCTGTCCGGGAAGCAGAAGCCCCTTTCTTGAGCTCTGTCGGGGCCAGGCCTGCGTGCCCTTCCTCCCATTAGCTCTGATGTGCTCCACAGCCCTGGAAGTAGGAATTGAGAGCGCATTTGCAGCTGCGGAAACAAGGCTCAGAGAAGTTGAATGACTTGTCTAAAGTCACAAAGAAAGTGATCGGAGCCCCGGGCTGCTCTGTGGCTGATGCCCAGGGTCCCGCTAGGGGTTCCGCCCTGTTCTGCTCCCCCCACCATCCCCAATGGAAAGAAGGTGGCAGACGTCTCAAGTTTCTGTCCAGGCTCCAGTGCCTTCTAACTTGTTTTGGGCAGTTACCTTGGGCAGATAACTCTCTAGCCCTTTGTTTTAGAACCTGTAAAATGGCCGTCATGGCACCTGCCTTGTCTAGCTTGCAGGGTCATTCGGAGCTGCAAGGAGATCAGGTGTACAGCGGGCAGCTGTCAATCACAAAGGGCACGGGCACCGCCCCTCTCCCATCATAGGGTCCTAGTGCTCCGCCCCTTCGATCTGATTGGTTAGTTTGGCTGATCTTTTCATCTGCCAGATAAAAATATGTAGTTGGGGGACTAGATTTCTTTATTCCTTTCTTTTCTTTCTTTCTTTCTTTTCTTTCTTTCTTTCTTTTCTTTCTTTCTTTTCTTTCTTTCTTTCTTTCTTTCTTTCTTTCTTTCTTTCTTTCTTTCTTTCTTTCTTTTTCTTTCTTTCTTTCCTTTCTTTTCTTTCCTTTCTTTCTTTCCTTTCTTTTCTTTCCTTTCTTTCTTTCTTTCTTTCTTTTCTTTCTTTCTTTCTTTCTTTCTTTTCTTTCCTTTCTTTCTTTCTTTCCTTTCTTTTCTTTCCTTTCTTTTTCTTTTCAACATATTATGAAAATTTTCAACCATACCAGAAAAACGGAAAGAATTGTATGGTGAGCGCCCATATTGTAGATTATACAATTTTGCTACATAGGCTCCATTTCTTCGTGCAAAGACTAACCTCAACGATGGGAAGGTACAGGGCTCCCGGCAGGCTGGAAGAGGGAGGCACTTGTGGAGGGAAAGAATTTAAGGCAGCTCTCCCTGGAAGGCCACAGTGGGCAGCCATATACCTGCCACTCCTGATCCAGGGGCCAGTGACTCCTTGTATTTACAGGGGACACAGGATTTATTAAACAGGTAAAAAAGAAATAAATAAAAGAAACGTAAAAGGGCACATGAACTTCCTACTAATGCTGTCTCTGGTTGGGGGTTAGAATGGATGGTTGACTCTCTTACCTGGGAGCAGAGAGCTGAGAAACTTGCTTTTAATAAGCAGAGTAGGGCAGAAGTATTTAGGACCTTTTAAAATTAAGAGCTAGGGGCAGCTGTTAGGAGTGATAACAGAAGGAATGCAGAAATGAGACTGGGCCCCGCAAACCCAGGTGCTGGCAGAGGTTTTTTCTTTTCTTTTTAAAATTAAGATCTTTTTCTGCCTCCTTGCTTGAAAAAGAAAAAGAAAAAGAAAAAAAGAAATGAAAAACCTCAAAAAAAAAAAAAAGACCTTTTCTTAACTATAAACTATCTGCCTTACTTTGTTTTTAACTTAAGAAGAATAGACACAATTTTATTTTAAGCAGAAAAACAAAGAAAAATAAAAAGTAAAAAATATCTTGGGGGGTAAAGTTAGGGTGAGAGAAGGAAGAAAGAAAGGGGCTTTGGCTGGGAGTGGGAAGGGTGAGAGGGAAGGATGGTGAGCCGAGGAATGAAGAGGAAAGACAGCAGAGAGGGAAGAGCAGAGGGGCGGTGGAAACTGGAAGGAGAGAAACTTGCCCGGAGCGAGGATGGGGAGGATCCCAGAGTGGTGGAGGTGGGGCGGGGCAGGGTGTGGAGTCAGACCCCCTGGGTTCCCAGGCTGCCTCTGTCACTGTGTGACTCTGGCCAGGCCACTCGATTTCCTGTGCCTTGGTTTCCCCAACAGTCAATAGGGATAATAAATAATACACGTTTTAAAAAAGTGCTTGACACACAGGACACATTCATAAATGCTGGCTCTTGTGACCGTCACCTGATCTGTGGACTTCAGGGGGTTAGGGGCACGTATTCACTCAGCAAACCTTGAGCGCTCTGATGTGTTCATTAGCTGATTGATTATTACCACAGTTCAAGGTCCTAAATCTGTAGACCTTTAATTAGGTTACAAATCAGCTCACCAAAGGGTGGGGCTGTGTCGACAGCAACATGGTCATTTTATCCCTGAACCTAGAGACATCCCGTTTCAACCCATTCAAGCCCAGTCCTCAAAAGCCTCACCTGTGCAGTAAAACATCCCAAAAGCTGAACCTAACAGGCGCCTGGTCCATAGCAGGGGCCTGATTTTAGGTCTGCCTCCTGGTTGGACCACTCAGGTCTACAGTGTGGACCTCCAGAACCCAGGAACTGGTTTAACTTGCTTATGACAGTGATGATCTGCGTGTGGTCTTTTTTCTTTTCCCTTTTTCTTGTCACCCTATCATTAAAAAAAAAAAAAAAAGGAGAGAGTGGGTAGTGAAAGTACTTTTATTTCCTTGCATAGAAATTGTGTTGCTCCTCACTAGAAAATATGGAATGATGGAATTTCTTCCTGTTTCCATCCATAGCAAGTTTGTAACATGGTTATTCAGAGCTCTCGTTCCCCAGAACTGGTGGCAGCAACACCCTTGAGCAAATTTCTACAAAGGAGATGTTTTACACTGGCCCCTGCAGTGGGCAGTGGCCACCTGGCCATCCTGGGGGTACCAGGTACCATTCTGCACACCCCAAGTATCCAGTGCTGACAGCACCTCTCCCCACAAGGGCATAGGTGGAATCGCTAATTGTTCAGACCATATAATGTGTTGTCCCTAAAGTTTCTCTCCTTGGCTTGCTTGATCGGATCCAAAGATCTTTTTCTTTGACCACAAATGTGGAAGAAAGAAAATAAAGTGATCTGAAGTTTCTAGAGCCTAATACTAAGATTGCAGAGTTTCCTTAGAATTATTTAACCCTACCCATGACCATGAAGGCAGCCAAAAGGATTCACAGTGACATCTTCCCAGCCTTATGTTAAAATCTGTATCGTTCCGTCCCTTCCTTCCTTCCTTCCATCCATCCATCCATCCATCCATCCATCCATCCATCATCTGTAATCACTAGGGTGGGCAGAACACACCCACAGCCTCATAGGTTGTCATCCTGCCCTCATAGTGCATTGCTATCCCTTCTTGGCTTCCAGGATATAAATTGTTTGGATCCATGGACCTATTATCATATAAATAGGCCTCTCTCTTCAGAACTCCTCTTAATCCAGTCCATTTCAAATTAGCCATGGCCAGGAAGCAGTGAACGGCATGGAGGGTTCAGACAATCATTTATACCTGGCTTTCGTGAACACAAGGGAATTATTTTCCTGTGGCAGTTGATTTACCCTCTTAATTATGTTTTGTTTAGTCTGAAAATGAGCCTGCATGGCTCCTGGCAACAGCGGCTTCCCTTGGGCAGCACTGGCCCTGGAAACAGATTCTCTGCTGGGGTCCTACCAACCTGGATGGTTATTCCATAAAGCAAGACAGCCACACAGGAGCCCTGTCTGAGTTATTTAAAAAAGGAGTCCATATTTTTCCAGAAAAAAGAAGAAAAAATTGTTTTTTATGCTGACTTGTTCGGCAGAGTTTTTGTTTTGTTTTGTTTTGCTAAGTTTTTCTTCCTAAGAGCCAGCAAACAGCCATCAGGTCAAAGAAAAATGCCCCAGTGAGACCTCTCTGTAGCGCTAGACTCATCGCTTGTTCTGTTCCTTGTCGACCACATAGACCCTGTAGTGGCCCCGGGTTTGTGCCCCTCACACACATTCTGTTTCTGTGCCACCTGGAAGTGCGCCGTGTCACTGTCAGCGAGCGCGAAGGCGGGGGCTCACTTCTCGTGTTTCCGCGCAGAGCGCTGAGAGTGCGCAAGAAGATGTCCGGGGAGAGGATGCCGGTGAAGATGATCGGGGACATCCTGACCGCGCAGCTGCCGCACATGCAGCCCTACATCCGCTTCTGCAGCTGCCAGCTCAACGGGGCTGCCCTGATCCAGCAGAAGACAGACGAGGCCCCGGACTTCAAGGAGTTTGTCAAAGTAAGGAGCCCAGGCTGAGACGAGTCCCTGCGAGGGGCTGGCTTGCACAACTGCTGTGTGTTTCTGCTGCAGGCCAACAAGGGCTGAGATCTTGGCTGAAAAACGGGAGGCTGGCCCTCACTGGCGAGTGTGGCTGAGACCAAGGGGGTGGGCTTGGAGAGAAGGGGCCAGCCGTGGCCTGGAAGCTCTGATCCATTGTCCAGGTGTGGAGTGGTGTTATTTGGATACTGGTTTAAATCCTCCACCTCATTTGTCAGGCTCAGGAGGGCTGGTGGGTCTCAGGTTTCCTATTGTGTTTAATCCAAGCATCCTCACTTCCTTTGCTGGTCTCTGCCCGTCACCTGCAAAGGAAACAGTCAATGTAGCAGCAATATTGATGGACCCTTGGTTTTTCTCTAAGTTGGTTCTTTTTGATGGGCTCAAACTCTGGGAAGGCTGTGGGGTTGAGTGTGGGATGCCAGGACCTCTGCCTTGGAGGATAATGAGGGTCTGGAGAGCCATGTGTCCACCAAGGGACATTTGGGGGAGGTGGGCCTCATGTTGCTGGAGTTCCCAGACGCTGAGCCTGCTGCCCTGGAACTTGGCCTTGGCTGGGATGGGCCCTTGCTGGCCGTCATGTCTGTGGAATCATCACTGCGAGCTGAAAGTCCCGTCCCTTCTCGGCCGCAGCATCTCGTGTTCTTTCTTTCTCCCCATTTCTCAATATTAAATGCCTTGATTTTCCATCCAATAATGGGGCATCTGAAGTCATTCTAAGGGGAGAAATCTGGCTGAGAAGTAGGCCTAGGGTGGGCTGGAGACTGGAGAGCTGGGCTGCTGGGTGCCACAGGCCACCCGGGATTCCAGCCAAGGGCTGGGTCCTCCCTGGGTGCAGGCAGGATGAGTTCATCCCTGGATGCACTTGAACTTCAGGGAGATGCTGACACCAGCCCAGGGAGGGGCCTTGTTGCCCCTCCCCTGCTCGCCCCTCCCCTCATTACCTCTCCCTGCCTCATCCCTGCGGGACTTTGACCTGCTTTTGCCAGCTGTGAAATGTTCCTGGAATAATGGTGTCCATATCTGGAGCCAGTTCAGGTGCTGACAGGCCCCAGGGCTTGGGGCCCAGGTCATGGCATTAAACCTGTTCCTAAGGAGTTAAACCTGACTGTCACCATATAACCCCTGTGACTTGTAGCCGGGGTCACCTTCTTGGGGTAGAAGGGCTCTTGTCCTCCAGTGAATATGACAAAAGTGGCAGAAAGAAAGAGAGCGGGAGTCCAGGGTGGAGACAAACACATGACCCTCACGTCTCAGCTTTGCTGTCCCTGCCCTGCCTGGGGCTCCCTCCGGCAGATGCAGACTTTGCCCGAAACAGACAGTGACATTCGACCCTTCCAGCATCTCTGAGACTCATGGGGAATTTTTATTCTGACCCTATAGTCTTGTGACTCCTTGTTCCTGGGACTGCTGTAAAGTTTCTGCAGGTATCCAGAGGAAAGATTTTCTGTGCACCTAGAATCTCATTTCTGGAAGTAAGGAAGCACGTGTCCCGGGAGCAGGGGTTAATCCTGTGGCTGAGTCACATCCGCGGGCAGCTCCCACCCTCCATCTGGAGCAAGCCTCCTCCTGGCCCAGGATAGCGGTCCAGCCCTTCCAGCTCCAGACTCCTCAGTTGTTGTCCAGATAAATGACGTGATGATGTGACGGGTGGGAGCCCCTAAATAACATTGTTGCTGAATGGATTTTGCAAATGTCTTAACTACACTAAACAAAACACACTGTCCTTTCAGAGACTGGCCATGGACCCTCGCTGTAAGGGGATGCCACTCTCTAGTTTTATACTGAAGCCTATGCAACGGGTAACAAGATACCCACTGATCATTAAAAATGTAAGTACCTGTCTTGCCTTTTCAAGCAGAGAAATGCTTTCTCAGCAGGTCAGGGATCCCAGGTCATGGGCAGGCTCCCCCATCAACACACCTGGTGTCTGTTGTGTAGAAATCATATACCAACAGGCTGTGGGAGGCATCTGCTTGGTAACTCAGAAAGAAAAGCTGGCTTATTGTGAAAAGAGCCAGTGACACACAGCCTTCAGCTGTGTGACCAAGCAGCTTCCACCGTATAGGCTGGACCATGAGAGCTCAGTTCTTTTCCTAATACAGGTGTAGTGTCTTCTAAACTTTTTTAATTTTATTTTTTTGGAGGGGAGTAGTTAGGTTTTTAAAAATTTACTTATAATGGAGGTACTGCGGATTGAACCCCAGACCTTGTGCATGCTGAGCACGCACTCTACCACTGAGCTATATGCTCCCCTCTCAGGTTGGTGTCTTTATGCCTTGGGTTTCCTAGAAAGAAAGAGAGCAAGGAATATAATTTCCACCACCCGTCTTCAGAAAGCCATTGTGAGATACTCTCTGTTGATATTAGATTGCTATTCTCCTGTCTCTTCAAGAAAGCTAACATCAAAGGAAAAGAAAAAAAAGGTGCCCACCTGTAAAATGAGTGAACAGACTTACACCTCTTCTGAGCCCATGATTCTTTAACCACAGGGAGGAGAGCTGCTGGAGAGAGGGTTCAGATCCGCCTCTTTTGAATGGAGAATTTAGAAACTCAGACCTGGACACTGGTGTGCTCATTGCCACGTGGGTGTTGTTGCCTTTGGTGCCTCTCATTGGTAGAGTCAGGAAATACATGTATGTGTATATATTCATACACACATATTTACATATGTATGTGTGCAAACATATTTATAATGCCATCAATATATGTATATTATAATATATATTAAAACCCATGAGTTCACACCAATACTTCCTGTTCTAATCTAATACCACAGAATTTCTTCTAGCCTCCCCTCTTTCTGTATTTATAATTCTCTTCTCTACAAGAAGCCTGGCTCTCATCATCCTCCATATATTTACTTATTTGCTGAATGCCCTTATATGTAATACATTTCCCTCCCGTGTAAGCTGCCTCCCCAGTCCAACCCCACATCGACCCCACAGAATACACTGTGGCCACACTGGCTGAGTTAAAGAATTAGTTTTGAAAGATACTTTCAACCTACTGTTTCCTTGTCTCCAACTTGACAAGTAACTATTCAACTAACTGAACACTTTTCTTTACTTCCCCCAATATTTAATTGCAAATTAAAGTTGGAAACAAGTTTTTAAAATAGATGTTCTAGATCTGGCCAATGGGGAGGAAAACAAAAACAGGAAAGATTTGAGAGGCATAAATATTAAAAAGGAAAAAACATATTTTCATTATTTGCCGAAACACGATTGCTACCCTCTTTTAGAGAGAGAACCCAAGAGAATGAACTGAAAACTAAGAAGAGAATTTTAGAAGGTGGCCAGTTGTAAGATAGATATGGAAAATTGTAAAAGTACTAAGACTAAATTTTTTTTTTTATAATACTAAAGTGGGGCAATTCTTAGCATGGCCCCAAAGACAGAACTTGAAAGAATTTGGAGTTGTAGCAACTTGAAAAAAAAACTTATTCTGGGAACAACCTAGGTGTTCATTAAGGAGAGTAGTTAAAGTGGTGAATCTGTATATGAAGGAGACTTTTATTTATTAGCTGGAATTACATCTAGGAAATGCTATTAAATTAAAAAAAAACTTTTCACTAGCAATCCTACAGTATGGTCCATTTTGCAAAACCGAGGAGAAACTCTATGTCACTATTAAATATATGTGGAGCATCGAAAGGGAAATAAACGGTTGCCCTTAGGTCTGGGCACGGTTACCTCTGGGGCAGGAGAGTGAAGGGGAGAGAGCAAAATTGTTCTCTCTACTTCTGCATATCAAGAATATGTTAATATTATTTGCATAAACAGTTTTCTTAAAAATTCTGTGTAACAAAAATAGAATAAGCAACATTAAAAGACAAATGACAGGTATAAACTGAGTAAACATATTTTAACTGTATGTAAGTAGATACTGAAATATATATCTATCTATCTATACATGTAAAGCACTATTACAACTCGAAAAGAAAAAGACAAATACCTTAATAGAAAAATAGGTAAAATATATAACCAGACATTTTTGAGAGGTGTGTAGAGTAGCAGTAAAAAATGTGTTGTCAGGAACCAGGCTACTTGAGTTTGAATCTCAGGAGCACTGCTGTGTGCCCTTGGGCGAATTACTTAACCTCTCTGGGCCTCAGTTTCCTCATCTGTGAAATAGGGACACTAATAGTACCTACTGCATAGTGTTGTGGGAAATTAACTGAATTAATAAGTGTAAAATGTCTGGGTCATACTAAGCAGTATATCAATGTTAACTTTATCATTTAGTGTTCTTATGTTCTAAATGTACACACAATTTAAATTCACTGGTAATAAAAGAAATGTATAACAAAACAAGAAAATACCTTTGGCTTTTGGCTTGCCAGATAGGCATATATTGAAAAGATTGTGAGTCCCCAGTGTTGACAAGTTTGCTGGTGGAAGCTAAACTGGTTCAGCCTTTGGGAGGGAGGGTGATGTATACATCAAATTCCACATTCTCTTTGGTTTGGCACTTCCATCTCTAGGAATTTATCCTAAATCAGAGGAATATTGAAATGTTGGAAACCTGAAGTTTTATAGGAAAGGAACTGTTTAAATGCATTGTGGTTTATCCTTAGAATGACATATTATAGAATCCTTAAAAATGATGATCTAGATCCATATGAACTGCATATCAAATGACGTGCTATAACTGCTACTAAGCGGGGAGAAAGCAATGTACAGTGTAATACGGCAGTATGATCCAATTTTTATTTCTTAAAATCTACATGTGTTTATATTCAGGCAGAGTGCATTAATGAATATGTAGACAGAGGTTATTTCCAGATGGGGAAATTGTGGGTGGCTTTTTAGGTTCTTTAATGACTTTCTGAATTTTCTAAATTTTGTACATTGTACAGTAGTACTCTTATAATGAGAAAAGCAATAAACCTATTTTCATTTTGAAACAAAAGAAAATAAATGAATTCACACCATTCAGCTGGGTGGGCTCCTGGTCTAGAACAGTGGTCCTCAGACTTGGGGAGCTCTAGAAAATTCCGATACCTGAGTCTCACCCCTGGGGATCCTGATATGGTCAGAGTTGAGGCATTAGGGTTTTTCAGAGGGATTCTAATGTACAGCCAGGATCAACACAGAGTTGGGGCTGTTGCTTGGAGATGAGTGGTGGACACACCAGACCCAGATTGGGCATTCTCCTCAAATTGGGTGCCTACTTAGGCCTTTAAACCAAAGTGTACCTTTAGGATAAGGTATTATCCAGGCTAAGGCCCACTTGAATAATTTGTATGTGGACAAGATGTGGGCAAGTACACCCTCAACACCCTCCTGGTCCACTCCAAAGGTGGCTGAGGGTCATTCTTTATTCTTAGGGTCTTTCCTCATGATGCCTGTTTTTGGTGTCCTCAAAGTCCTTTGAGAATCTGATGGTAATTGCTGTCGCTTACTGAGCACCTTCAAAGGGCCAGGTACTTTGCAAAGTTCTTTACTTGTATCGAACCATTTATTCCTCCAAACCACCTTGTAAAGAAGGTGCTATTAGTATCCCCATTTTTCATATGAGGAAAATGAGGCTCAGAACGTTTATGTGAGTGACCCATATCACAGCTGGTCAGTGGCAGAGTAGGGATTTAAACCCAGGAAGTCTTGCTCCAGAACTGGCTATCTTAACCATTAGCTTGAAATGATTTATCCAGAAAAATGCATCTTTGAGCAGATGCACCCATTAGCATGCAGTTCCAGAGGTGCAAAGATGCCTGCAGCTGTGCATGGATCCAGGAAAGAGCCATTCTATAGGGAGAAATCCACTCAGGATGTGTTATTGCCCTTGCTGCAGCCACAGCCCTCCTCATACCCCAAATATAGATCATTTGGCAGTCCCTGTTCCCCAAGTTTCCCCTGCCAGCTAGGAGCGGCCATCTTTCTTCATGTCATTGCTGAGGTGGGTGCTCAGAGCTGCAGTTGCTCATGTGGGTGCTGTTCAGGAAAGGTCTGTGTCTTTCCCTGCTTCTGCTCAGTCTGGCCCTCCAGGACAAGCCCACCCACACTGCCTAAGGCTGCTGTCTTCTGTCCTCTGATGTAGATCCTGGAAAACACTCCTGAAAACCACCCGGACCACAGCCACTTGAAGCACGCCCTGGAGAAGGCAGAGGAGCTGTGCTCCCAGGTGAACGAAGGGGTGCGGGAGAAGGAGAACTCGGACCGGCTGGAGTGGATCCAGGCCCATGTGCAGTGTGAAGGCTTGTCTGAGGTACTGCCTTAGGGTGGGACCTGGGCCTTTCCCACCAGCTTGGCAGCCAGTCTGAAGGAGGATGAGAAAAATCATGAATTGTCTTTCTCTCCTCCAGCCTCCAGTTTGCTGATTCTCTCTTCAGCTGCTTCTAATCCATTTAATCTGCATACTGAGTTTTTAAATTTCAATTATTTTCTTTTCCATTTCTAGCAGTTCTATTTATATTCTCTAATCTGCTGGTTTCTTTCTTGTCTTGTTCCTTGCACAAAAGGCCATGCTTCTCATTTATTTTCTAACACATATTAAACATAGTCCTGCCTATTTCAGATCTGATCATCCCAGTAGCTTAAGTTATGGGTTTCACTCTTTGATCTGTTGCTACTATTAGCTCTCACCACACATATATGTTTCTCTGGATGTACTTTGATTTTTGATTGTATACTTTGATTTTTGATTGTGAGCTGTTTCTCTGTATGTACTTTGATTTTTTGATTGTGATAAAGTCCTTGGAACTTTATCTGTGAGATCTTTGAGGTCTGAAGTTGTATTCCCTGTGCAAGGGTTGCTACCAGGATCACCCTAAATTAAATATAGAAGGGTTTTCAGATCACACTAGTGTGAATTATGATTGTAAACTTACGTGAGAGCTGCATTGTGGTTTCAAATTCTCAGGGGCATTTTTTTTCCCTCCACTTATACCAAGTTCGAAAGCAAGCAAGCTTTCAGGCTAATCCTTTCTGTGCTGAGTTACATGTCATTCTTCCTCTAGGGTCCAGCTTTTTGAAATCTCCTGTTATGTCCCTCCCCTTGCTTGGGCTCTGGGTATATCTGCTGTCTCCTGCACCCCACATAGCCTTTACAATGGAAGTTCAAAGTCACCAGGTTTAAGGAAGGGCTGTGTATCATTCTGAGGAGCACTAACTTGATCCTAAAGACAGTGGACCTGTACAGCTCCTGAGTCTGGCAGGCTAAAATGCCACCACGCACTTTTAAAGAGGCCCTTCTCTGAGTCTGAGACTGAGACAGCTGCAGTCACAGGAATTAGTGAGGCTGGGATCTTCATCTTAAAACATTAAGGATAAAGTAAAGTCTTGCCATTTGCTTTTTTGTGGCTTATATATACTCTTTGAAATAGACTGTTTTTTTTTTCGTTAGTGATGGTCTTTCCTGGCTTTTGTCCACCAGCTTTTGTTTTGTCTGTACAGTTAGGGTTCACGACCGTGGAAAGGGGGCATATTGATTTCTGTTTCCTGGCCCAGATCTAGACACGCCAGTAATAAAGTTTCAAATAGATGCTGTCTTAGGCATTCTTGTTTCAAGATAGAGAACTGCAAAGACTGTTCCCAATTCATATGGGTTCAGTGTTAGCCTGGCCAGCTGGAGGCCCTAATCTTTGAGTGTGAATGAACCATATCACCTCTGTGTCATCCAAGTGAATCACTGGATTCATTGCCCCCTAGTGGCTTGAACTCTCTCTTGGCAAGTAAAAAGGGCTAGATTGATCTCCAGGCTTCTGTTCAGAGTGCCAGGGGTGAAGAGTACCCTTTGGGGGCTCCTGTTGGAGGGTAACACTCTGTCTTTGGGGCTCCCCCAGAGCCTCCCTGGGAGGTTAGGGGCCCTCGTCCCTCCTTGTACCTGAGAGTGGAGTGGACTGGCCACTCTTCCTTGATGCCTAAAGGTCTCTGTTCACAGGGGTGCCACTGATTCTTTCTCTCATTTTGGAGGCAGACAGGTGGCCACCAGCATCTCTTGGAGGATGTGTGTTCTCTGTCACCTCTTCATTAAGACTCTCTTCAGGGAGGTCTGTAGGGTTCATAGCTCTGGAGAGAGCTTCAGCCTTGAGGGCTGCTGGGTAGCACATACCCCTGGGGCCCAAGTGTGGGCAGACAGAGACCTTGAGGGTCTGACTCCTGCCTGGATCATATCACTTCCTGGGGACAGCTGTGGCCTTCCCCTCCCTCAGTCTTTCCCCTGCTATCCAAAAAGGAGGGCCTTAGTGCAGACATATCTTCCACAGTCTTCCTCTGCCCATTTAAACCTGCTCACAGAAAATAACAGAGTCCAGCAGAATGATAGAGCATGAGATGATAGAGTCCAGTGGGATGATAGAGCATGAGCTATAGAGCCTAGTGGGATGATAGAGCATGAGATGATAGAGCCCAGGAGGGATGACAGAGCTGTGCTTAAGGACTTAAAGCCATCTCCAAGGTTCGGGAAGTGGCAGGAAGAGAGCTGTGCTCTTCATGTTTTCGGGACCAGTGAGTTGGGTGAGATTTAATGTACACCAAACACAGTGTCTGCTCTGCTTGGCTCTGAGGCATCAGCCAGCACCTTGAGTTTTGAGGTCCACCCATGCGGTAGGGGCCTGGACTCCAGCTGTGCCTTGGGAAGCAGCATTTGTCCTGTGGAATTGTTCAGCTACAGCTGCTGCTTCCAGAGCCACGCAGGACCGTTTGAACCTGTGCAGGGCCATCACTGAAGCTGGTTCACGTCCCTTCTGGTGGACTGCCCCGCACACAGCACATACTCATCAAGGTGGGAGTGTTTTCTTCCTGCTGCCCAGTTTCCCCAGTAAATAAAATGGAGAAAAGCCCCAATCACCCTGAGACACTAGCAGACCTCAAGGAAAAGCATTAGGAATTACAACTAAGATTCATCTTGACACATGGAATCTCCAGAACCGCACCTTTGACTCCTTGGCTCCAAAAGTCACTGCCTGAAGTCTTCAAAGCAGTCCTTGATTTGAGTCTAAGATACAGACTCGCTGGGGCCTGGTCTCAGATTCTGCTGGAGCTCATGCTTTCAGATGCAGACAAACAAAAATTTAAAAAACAAAAAATGACCTCACTTCATCATGTTTTCTTTGGGTTTTGCTTTCCTTTCTCAGCAACTTGTGTTCAATTCAGTGACCAATTGCTTGGGGCCACGCAAGTTTCTGCACAGCGGGAAGCTCTACAAGGCCAAGAGCAACAAGGAGCTGTACGGCTTCCTCTTCAATGACTTCCTCCTGCTGACCCAAATCATAAAGCCCCTGGGCTCCTCCGGCACCGACAAAGTCTTCAGCCCCAAATCAAACCTGCAGTATAAAATGTACAAAACAGTAAGTTCGATTCTAGATCGTGATCTCAGGGTTGATTCTGGGGAGGAGGAGAAAATTTCCAAAAGGAATCAGAGTCTTAGCAGAGCTTGAGGGCTCTGGCCCAGAGGAGGTGCAGGGAGTTAGCGAGGATTTAGAGTGACTGTAGCAGCACGGTCCCAGCAGTATCAGAGAAGGAACGACACTCAATGTGATGGACGAAACATCTATGAGCTGGCTGCCAAGTGGCTGCGGTGGGTTCCCCAGTTGTGACGAAGGCACGCCCTGCCCTGGTGGGGGTCACGGTCTAGTGTACAGATGAGACCGGCGTGGGAAAGCTTGAAGCTAGAACTCAAGCACCCACCTCCCAAGCATCCCCGGGTCCCCCTCCAAGCTTCTCAGGGTGGCTTGGAACGTCTGAGCACCTCGCCTTTTTCAGCAAAAGCCAATCTAAACAATCAGTGTGTGGAGAATTTTCCTTAGCTGCTTGTTTGGTCGGCTTCTACGTGCATGGCTGTGTTTGTGTGTCTTCGTGCCGCGGGATATTGTTTTTCTAAATTTGTCTCTGTGGGGGTGTTTTTACAGAAGAATTTTCTCTGAAGCAGCAGTTAGCCTTATTTTGGGAAAAAGAACAATGTACTTACATAGATTGTCACTAGCAACTTTGTATGAATGTCTTTGGAGGGTACTGCTTGGAGGTAAATTTGATGGAGACTGCTGATTAGAATGTACAACGGGAAAAACAGACCCATCCATTCTTATTCTGGGGGACTTTAAGAATACCTGTAAAATGGAGGGGGAAAATCCATATTTGTAATTTGCAATATCTGAAAGTCAATATTAACGCAAAATCATTAATTGGGTATAGTTTACTGAACCCTCTCCCCTAGACACACACACACACACAGACACACATCCTCACCCTCAGTCTACTTGACTGGAACATATGCACATAAGCACACATACACACACTCATAGTTTACTAGGACACACAGACCCCCCCCACCCGCCCCAGTCTGATTTTATAATGTCTGTGCATTATTTTTCAGCCTATTTTCCTGAATGAAGTTCTAGTAAAGTTACCCACTGACCCTTCAGGGGACGAACCCATCTTCCACATTTCCCACATCGACCGAGTCTACACCCTCCGAGCAGAAAGCATAAACGAAAGGTAAGACCCGCCCCCTCCCGGCACTGGGCTCCCAGATTCCACCAGGTGTAGGACACACATGGGACATTTAATCAATCGGAAGGTCCCAACATTCCCCTAGTTGCAATACCGCTGCCTCTGGCTGGAGGTGGGGGTGGGGAGGTCTTAATACTTTTTTCTAGAGCCTCCCAAAAAGTTCAACCCGTGGCGTGAAGTTTTCAAAGTAAAATGAATTGAACAAATTTTGCTTGAGATTTTTTTTTTATAAGGGGAAGGTAATTAGGTTTATTTATTTATTTATATTTGGAGGAGGTACTGGGGATTGAACCCAGGGACTTACGCATGCTAAGCATGCGCTCTGTATTTGAGCTATACCCTCCTGCCTTAAGAATTTTTAAAAAAGAAATTTTCAGCATTCTTTGAGATAAATGGAGCATCTCACGTTTCCCAAAGTTTCCCAGGTGGCAGAAACCAGTATGAAAGCGACTTGGGGGTTACTTAATAGGACCATCCGAACCTGACCCCCTCCTCAGTGGGCCCACTTGGACAGGCATTCTGACTCCTAGAACTGGGGGCATTTTTGCTTCATTCGTGCCTTTAAGGCTCTGCCCTGGAGCCAAATCAAATAGACGATTTTCTGAAGGGTGAACTTGACACAAGATCAACAACATTCCAAGAGCATTTGTGCCAAGCGAGAAATTGGCTAAAGCTATCATGCATATGGTTCTTGGAAAAATGAAGGAGAAAACATCGTGCCAAAATGCTTCCCTAGCGTGTGTTTGCTCTTTCACGGAAAGTGATTCCTTATCTGGGACATGGTTTCTCCCCTTGGGTGGTTTAGTAAGAGAGGTCCTTTTGGCCTTATTGGATTAGGCAAGTATGTGATGCTTTTCAATAAGGGAAGAAGAGGAGCTGTGTGCCAACGTCTCCCCTAGGACAGCATTTATCATTATGATAGATTTCCTTCCGTGGGGACACAAACACAGGTCTTGATTCCATCCATACAAATGTCGCTCATGTCTTTGCTGTGAATGGTAGAAATAATTATTAGCATCTTACGACGTAAAACCAGGCTTTGCTGTGAAAATCTAATGAACAAAGCAGAGTCCTGGAAACTGAATTTGTACGGACCTGGAGTCTTTTCCCCGAGTTCTGTTTGGCATCTTCCTGTCTGTTCCTTTCCAAGGACCGCCTGGGTGCAGAAAATCAAAGCGGCTTCTGAGCTCTATATAGAGACGGAGAAGAAGAAGCGGGAGAAGGCATATCTGGGTGATGCATTGCTGGCCACGTGGCCGGGGTTTCCCACAAAGCCGGGGCGGAGAGCCACTCGGTCGGGCCCAGAATCCCGAGGAACTTGGAGATGGGCCCTGAGGTCCAGGAGAGCCTGAGGGTGGATGTGGGCGGAAGAGGAGAGTAGGGTTCAGGGGGAGGTGTGGAGGGCAGGTTCCAGGAGCAAGGGAGCAAGAGTTTAAGGATAGGAGGGGACAATTGTTTTTGAATGGGGGCAGGTACATAAAACAGATCATGAGACAAATTGGAAAGGCAGCAAATGCTAAAAGGAAGCATTTTGTATTGTTTTTCTTGCGGTCACAGTCCGTTCCCAGAGGGCCACAGGCATTGGAAGGTTGATGGTGAATGTAGTGGAAGGCATTGAGCTGAAGCCCTGTCGGTCACATGGTAAGGACCCGAGAAGCCCCCTCTAGCACATGTTGCTGGTGGAAGCCTCTTCTGCATCCCCCCACCCCCGTCTCTTTCCATAATCCTAAATTTCCTCCCAGACTTGGTTTTTCTAGCACTTGTTAAAAATCTGTAATGAAAAATATGTACTTCTTTCTGCCATTTTGCTTTCCAGAGAGATCTGAGTGGCTGCCCATTCACGATACAGTCAGCCCCTCTGTATCTGCGGGTTCTGCCTATGCAGGTTCAACCAACTGTAGATCGAAGAATGTTCAGAAAAAAGATTCCAGAAATTTCCAAGAAGCAAAACTTGAATTTGCTGCCCACCAGCAACCATTTGCATAACAGTTACATTGTATTTATAACTATTGATATAACAGTTACATTGTATTAGGTATTGTAAAGAATCTAGAGATGATTTGAAGTAAATGGGAGGATGAGTGTAAGTTACATGCAAATACTATGCCATTTTATATAAGGGAATTGAGCATCCCCGGATTTTGGTATTTGTGGGAGTCCTGGAACCAATCCCCTACAGATACTGAGGGATGACTGTGGATTTGACACAATTTACGGCTAAAGTGAGGGGAGAGGGAAGGCTTAGTTCTGAAGCCCACTAATGTTATAATGCTGGATTGTGGAAGTTTTAGCCTGGATTTTTCACTTTATGCTACTTATTAAGTGGGGCAGTGGAGGGGGATCAAAATGAGGAGTGTAGAGGAAAGAGTTGCCCTGTGGCTGTGACCCTGCCCTACATGCAGAAGCACCAGGCAGCTGGCGAGAGTCGAGCAGGCTCTGTTCCCTCCAGGAAAGAGTAACCCATACTGCGAGGTGACAATGGGCTCCCAGTGTCACATCACCAAGACGATCCAGGACACTCTGAATCCCAAATGGAATTCCAACTGCCAGTTCTTCATCAAAGACCTGGAACAGGAGGTGCTCTGCATCACTGTGTTTGAGAGGGACCAGTTCTCGCCAGATGGTGAGTAGAGAGCGGTCCCAAGGCTCTCTGCCCCTTTCCCTGTCACTTGGCTTTCATGGATAAACGTTTTCTACCTGAGAACTTGGTGCCCAGAATCCCTTGGGCTTCCTGCCAGAGAGATGAGGTTGGCACAAAAGGAGACTCAGCCTCCCCCAAAAAGAGGCCTTCACCAATGCCAGGGCATCTCAGAGAAGATGACAAAGCATGTTTGGTCCAGAGTGGTCCAGCTGCCCTAAACAAAGACCATGGTCCCTTGCTTCCCCAGAGCAGGTAACTGCAAGGAGGGTGGTCCCCCAAAGCCTCAGGCCAATTCTTTAGTTCTCAGCTAAAAGCCACAGTGAAAATGAACAAAACTAGTCAGTAAAACAAGAATGTTAGCCCACAAAAACTGTGGCAGAATCAGTCAGTGCCGTTTGGGTGACATTGCTGATGAATCAAGAGGATGGAATTCTGTTGAAGGCATCATCCCTTCAACCAACTTTCTACTTTGAACCTGGAAAAAAATGGGTCTGGCCAATAATTTCAAGGAACTTCTCTCTCTCTTCCTCAACCTAATAAAAATAAGAGAGTAAGTTTAAAGATCATGGTCTTAATTATATTCAAAAGAGTATAATTAAGTGCTAAGAGTGAGGGTCTAATGCAGGCATGATCCGCAAAAGGCTTAAACTGCGCTGTGTGAATTTTGTCTTCTAGTAGTTTTATATGAATTATCTCATTGTGAGTTAGTTTCTATTTGTTACATCCCAAAGATGGTCATGTAGCTGCCTAAATGTTAGAGTGTGGCCAGAACAACCTGACTCTCAAGTCGGGGCTCTTAACCACTGTGTTTCATTGGTAATTTTTTATTCTAATAAATAAAGACTTGAGGTTGATTTTTTTTTAATAGTGAAATATCGTCACACAAACAGCAGCACCACTGGGTTTAAGGGTTTATGCTGAAAATCCTGGTGGTGTTCTTCCTTGGGAGATAATTTCCATGAAACACACAAGGGGCAAAATAAACCGGCAGGTTCCACCAGAAAAAATTCCTAGGTTTTAAATGGGAAACTTGAAAGAAGGCTATTTCCTGTACAGGAGGATGTGGATCATAGTGTATTCCAATTAACTGTTGATGAAAAAAATGAAGGAATTAATGGTCTGGAGGCCTATTTGACTTCATTGTGTGATTGGCATAGCATATAAAAAAATGTTCAAACATGTTCACATCCGTTCTCATAGTGACACTCAATGTCTGATACAAAGTGGTGTTGAGATTGTTTGGGGAGCATCACTGGAAGCTTGCAGCCCCTGGGCTGTCGCCTCCTGTCCCACCTCCTCACATCTGCTCCCTGGCACATGCAGAGAGCCATTAGAAAGACCCGCCCTGCACTCACCATCCTTGACATTTCTGATAGGAAATGCAACATTTGATAGGAGTGCAACATCACGAAACTTGCTCCTGTGACAATCCTTGGGAGAAATTACCGTCCAATTTTTGTCCCAGAAATAGTTGACTTTCTTCTGGGCTACTTCTTTAAATTTCATGTATGTTGCAAACTGGGCAGCTGGTACGACATGGGGTTTTGCATTGTCTCCCAGGAAGCTCACGGCCCTTTGGAGGTCCCCAGGTGTGAGGAAAGCCTGCATTTTGAGCTCCTTCTATACTCTCCTTTGTCCCCACCCTGGTACCTTTCTCTTTTCACTCCATTTAAAAATTATGCTGTCACTGTAGTTTCTGGATTCCCGGAAACTGACTTAACTCCCTTTGGGAAGAGGGAAAGTCTAACAAACAACTCACTGGGACGTTCCCAATATGCCAAGTACGCACCTTGAAGAGAAGGAATCCTCTCTGAACAGGGTCTGTATGTTTCTCCTTTCAGATTTTTTGGGTCGGACGGAGATCCGTGTGGCTGACATCAAGAAGGACCAGGGTTCCAAGGGTCCAGTCACAAAGTGTCTCCTGCTGCACGAAGTTCCCACAGGAGAGATTGTGGTCCGCCTGGACCTGCAGTTGTTTGATGAGCCGTAGGGAGCCGGCCAGGGCCTGCTAGCAGAGCTCCAGCCCGAGGCAGTGGATGCTGTCCCGAAATGAGGACCACCGTTTGGTGTTCGGCCACAGGGCAGCAGGAAAGCAAAGAGAGGCCCCTTAAAGCTTCCAGGAATCCTTCTTGACAATCCTTCCCCCAAACAATTTCCCATTTTATGAAACAAAACTCACTGCAGGTCTCATCGTGGCTTCTAGGGTCTTTGAAACACCATAGCCCCCGGCTCTGTTTGGTTGGGAGTCTGGTCTGTCCCCGGGCCTGAGGCTTGGGTCTGGTTAATGTAAAACAGATTTATAAATGCAATGTCTGTTTTTTTGGAGAACTCATGTAACCCTATTTCTTACCTCCACCAGCCCCCAAGGAGGCCCCCTGACCTATGACGCCCAGTCCCTGGTGTGTTTAGAAATAACATGATGGTCTTGTCATTGTTTCAGGATCTTGTTCCCCACGCTGGGACCTTATTTGAAATGCTGCCCGGGGTCTGCTCACTCGGGCAGGTGGTCTCCTGATCTCTGATCTAGGTCTAGCTCTTGGAAGAGCTGGTCCGTGGAAGATTCTAGCAGGTGTGTTGGTAGAGCTTTTCCAGTCTCCTCCAGGTCTTTTATTGATAGATGCTGATGAAAACTGTCAGTATCAGGTGATCTGATCGTGAGCGCCAGCGTGCTCGGAAGAGGGCTGAGAAAGGCTGTTACCTACAGAGTCACTCTCTGCTGGATTAGATCCCTGCAGGTCACCTGAAAGGCTGCTTTACGACGTTATTGGGTCCTGGTTGCCAGCCCAGTTGGAAAGCTCTCTTTTGGCTTGGAGGTCCTGTGATGTTTTATGACAAGAGTAGTTGCCGGTGACCAGCTCTGAGCCTGTTCTTGCTTGAATGAGCTGGATCCTGATTGTCATGGGAAATGTCAGCAGATATCCTTGGTACGTTCCCCTGAAAGCATCCCCAAGGCGTGAGAAGGAAAAGGGACCATCTGTGGAGGAAATCTATTAGATGGTGGGGGACAGACCCTAGGAGCACGCATGGCCCTCAGTTCCAGGGAAGAAGACCCGAGACTTCCCCAGACTCCTCCGTACACAGCCAGCCTCTCAGTAATGGAAAAAGCTGCGTGCTTGTTGCCAGTCAGGAGAGTATGACCGCGTGCCAAGCTGTTTGGTTTGAGTTCTTTGAGTTTTTCTCCTTAAATGCCGGGAGATAGGCTGGCTAACCAGATAAGAACTTGATTCGCGAATGAAAAGTGTGGGTGATATTTTGTCCGCATGTTAATGTTCTCACAGTCGCTGTTTGTCTTTTTCATGATGTGTTCTTTGCATGTTCTCTTGGTACTGGAATCCTGTGTTGGACAGTGTTCTCTCTGATTGTAGGTCCTTAGAATTTAGTTAGGGTTGTAGAGACACGTTCTAAAGACAGCATCGACATAGGGGCAGGGTGAACCACCCACGTGCTGGGAACTGAATGTGTGGCATCCTACTTTCCCATGAGACCCTGTCATTGTCCAAGTGATTTTTTTAAACGTGTGTGTCGGAAAGGGCCACAAAGTTTACATTTCATACTTTTAAGAAACACTTTATTATTTATTTATTAAAGATAGTGTAGAATTTTATATCAAGAACAACAGACATAGGTATTTTTTGAAACAAGCAGATATACCCTTTAGTTAGAAACTCTCAACTGAAGACATTGGAGACCAAGTTCAGCTCCAAGCGTGCATTTGTTCCCCACCTCCCAGCAGAAAACATGGTTAAAATACTTTAAGTTTGTATTTTTTTGGATGTTGTTAAGAAACTGTTTAAAATTAAACCTACAAATAGACCCACAAATCATGCTTTCCTATTTCTATACCCAGTGCAGTTTGATCAGTGTATTTATGAAGAACATGTTACTATGGTAGATAAAGAAGGATTACCTGTGTAAATTGGGTCGTTTTGGGTCACCATCCCAGTCCCTGTCTTTTGGTCTTCTCTTTTTTTCATCGACTTTCTTTGCATGTGAATGTTGGGCATCACCGTTCATTAGGTTGGATGTCATGTGCTCAATTACATCCAAGTATCTGTAGCCTTTTTAGGTCCACCAAGTCACCTACTCACAGAGTCCCATTATTGGAAGTAATGTAGCATGAAAAAGCAATATGTGCTTCTTTTTCACCAAGTGACTATACTGAGCGTCTCTTAGTTGCTCCTCCAGGGTGGTGATTCTGGATTACTGTCCTTGTCCTCACTGGGGTCATTTGTTACATGCCCAGTTGAACTTATGGATGAGTTAGGCTGGTCCTGGGGTCCAGCTGTGACTCCTGAGTCTTGTGTGAGATACAGGAATGTGGGTGATGCCTGGAGTCTCAAATTTTTTGACCTCTAGTCCTTCACTTCTACCTTTTTGGCTGCCTGGGGAGTATTTCATAGAGATGAAATGTCCCTTGCCAATAAGCAATCTGTGTCCTAGTTCTTTGCTTTCAAAACCAGGGTTTCTCCAGGCTGCTGCATCCTGGCGTTCTGACTCCAGCCCTCCAGACATCCCTGCGAGCTTCCTTCTTCTCTGAGCCACACCGACTTCCTCTAAGCCCAACAGGGGGCCTTTCTGCTCACAAGGCTGTGCCCTGAGGACAGGAGCCCTTGAGCTGGGGCTCCTTTGTAGACCAGCTCTTCTGAAGGAACAATCTGTACCCCCGGCCCCCGGGGCAGGGTCTCTCTGGCAGACAGCATCCTCTCCTGGAACCAGGTCTGTTGTGACCATGAGAGCCTGAAGATGTGGTTCATTCAGATCCAGGGCTGGCCTGACACAGGGAGACAGACCCTTCTAGGCTGGGGTCTCCAAGGATGCTCGAGAAACTGGGGCCAGGCTTCCTGGGTTGACTGTTTGGATTACATGCCCTGACCTCTGAAGACAGAGGAGAGAGCTATATTCCCAAAGAACATTCATATTAAAGGGGGCCTTTTTTTTTCTTCTTTGCTTTTTGAACAATCTAAGTATGACCTAAGTCAATGAAAGTAACTGATTTCATCTAGTTGAGTAGCACTGAATTTAACTGGGAAAAAAAAATCCCATTAGAAAATGGGAAGTTGACCACTTGTGTTGTCTTGGTGACCTGGTACCCCAAAGTCCTGTCTGTTCAGGAGTTGCCTGGTGCAAACATACAGCCACTGACCACACAGAGTGGGGGTGTTCGAGAATCTTGC